TTTTTTTTTTTGTTTGTTTTATTGTAAATGGTATCAATTTCCTTATTTCTTTTTCAACAATCTCTTTGCTGGTGTTGAGAAATCCAGCTGATTTTTGGATGTCGCTCTTGTGTCCCACCACACTGTGAGTAATGTTTATGGTTGTTGTTAGGTGCCGTCAAGCTGGTTCTGACTTATGGTTCTCTTTATACAACAGAATGGAGCCCTGCCCGGTCCCGTGCCATCTTCATGCTCTTTTCCGTGTGTGAGCCCATTCTCGCACAGTCTTTGTCAGTCCATCACATTGAGGGCCTTCCTCTTTTTCGCTGACCATTTACCAAGCATGATGTCTCTCTCCTGGGACTGCTCCTTCCTGATAACATGTCCAAAGTGCATGAGGCAAAGCCTTGCCATCTTCTCTTTTAAGGAGCATTCTGGCTGTAATTCTTCCAAGACGGATTTGTTCATTCTTCTGGCAGTGATGGTATATTCAATATTCTTCACCTACACCATGATTTGAGTGCAACAATCCTCCAGTCTTCCTTGTTTATTGTCCAGCTTTCACATCATATAAGGGGATTGAAAATGCCATGTCTTGTGTCAGACACTCTTTAGTCCTCAAGTGATATCTTTGCTTTTGAATTCTTTAAAGAGGTGTTTTGCAGCAGATTTGCCCAGTGCAATATGTTGTTTTCTTGACTGCTGCTTCTATGGGCGTTGATTGTGGATACAAGTAAAATGAAATCCTTGACCACTTCGATCTTTTCTCCGTTCATCATGATGTTGCTTATAGGTCCATTTGTGAGGGTTTTTTTTTTTTTTTTTTTTCATGTTGAGGTGTAATCCATACTGAAGGCTGTAGTCTTTGATCTTCATCAGTAAGTATTCCGAGTTTTCTTAATTTTCAGCAAGCAACATTGTGTCATATGTTTATCACAGGTTGTTAATGACTCTTCCTCTAATCCTGATGCTCCATTCTTCTTCAAATAGTTCAGTTTCTTGGATTATTTGCTCAGCATACAGATTGAATAGGTATAGTAAAATGATAAAACCCTGATGTCTTGGGTCAGAAACACCTTAGTCCTCAAGTGATATCTTTGTTTTAAACCTTGCAGTATCCCCTGGTTCTGTTCAAATGACTGCCTCTTGGTCTCAGTAATGTTGAGTAAATGTTAAATATACCATGCACTGCAAGAAGAAGGAACAAATCTGTCTTGGAAGAAGTACAGTTAGAATGCTCCTTAGAAGAAATGATGGTGAGACTTTGTCTCACATACTTTGGACATCTTACTGGGATGGACCAGTACCTGGGGAAGGATATCATGCTTGATAAAGCAGAAGGTCCGTGAGAAAGAGGAAAACCTCAACCAGATGGATTGACCACGTGGCTGTAAACATGGGCTCATATACAGCAATGATTGTGAGGATGGTGCAGGACTGGGCAGTGTTTTGTTCTGTTGCACATAGTTTCTCTGTAAGTTGGAACTCACTCCATCACTCATTACAACAACAACAAGGTTTACTATAAGGATGCCCCATAGTATTAGTATATCCCATAATTGGGTTGCCAGAATTAGAAAATAAAAATACAGACTCCCAGTTAAACTTGAATTTCACATGAACAACAGATACTGTTTAGTATGTGTGTCCCATATTTAGTATATTTCAAACACTTTTTATATATGCACAGTTAAGTATTTTTTCATCTATCTTTAAGTATGTTGAATACTTATACACTAATAGTAAATACCAACAGTATTTTTTATGTGCATGTTCCAATAGCATGTTTGGGACATAATTATACAGAATACTCAATTAAATTAAATACTAATATTTCAGTTTAAGTATGTTCCAATAGCATATTTGGGACACACTTTTACTAAAATATTAGTTGTTGTTTACCTGAAATTCAGTTTGGGGTGAAATGATGACTAAGTGTTAACTTTAAATAAGCAATGGCTGTGTCCTTAAAGCTGTTAGCTTTTGATTGAGAATGAAATTGGTGTGGTGAGCATTCAGAATTCTCTCTTTCCTCGTGGGCTTATCAGGCACTGAAGGCAGCCATCAAGGCAAGGATCCACCAGGGTAATTAGCTTGTAATGCCTACTGGACAGTTATCACTGCAAAAGGGCTTTCCAGGGAGAAATGACACCACCAGGAAGACCCAGGTTCCAAGGTTCCAACCAAACCCACTGCGGTCCAGTCTGTTCTGAGCTACAGCATCCCCAGAGGACAGAGTGGAACTGCCCCTGAGGGTTTCTTTATGGAAGCAGACTTGCCTCATCTTTCTCACACCAGTTCCAACTGCTGACCTTTTGGTTGGCAGCTGAATGCGTTAGCCTACTCCACCAGAGTTCCACTCAAAGTTCCAAGCTGATCTGTAAATCATCCTGTAATAAGGAGTGGGATCAGCCATAGAAACTCAGAGAACAAATTCCCACCAAGACTTTCATGTCTCTCCTTTTTTGTAGACCACTCTGTCCTTGGGCTTTTCTGTCTCGATAGAGAGCCAGGTTAAAAAAAAAAATTTCTTCACTGTAAGAAGATATTTGATTTAGAGCAGTGTGTAAGCTGCAGGGCTGGCCTGGGGGTTGGGAGGCAACAGAGAGTGGTAGGATCTGTGGTGAGCCAAGAGCAAGAGCATAGCCAAGAGCATAGTTCACTAAGGGGCCACTATGACTCAACCTCAGTTCATGCCCATCTGAGCAGATCCCGACCCAGTACAATTTCTCCTTGTACAATTCAGTGACATTGACTATGGTTTTCAAGTTGTGCAACCATTCTCACTAACCTTTTCCAAATCATTCTACCACCATCAACATGCACTAAATGCCCTCTAAGCAAAAACGCCCTCCTCTCCCCACTCCTGGTAATCACTAATAATTTTTGGTTTCTGTATACTTATCTATTTCATAGAAGTGAGATCATACAATATCTGTCCTCCTGCGATTGATTTATTTTGCTCAGCATAACGTTTTTAAGGTTCGTTCTTCTTCTTCTTCTTCTCCTTTTTTTTAGCAGATGTCAGTACTTCATTTACTTTTATGGCCAAATCATGTTCCCTGTATGGGTGATGACATTTTGTTTCCTCGCTCATCAGCTGATCAGTGTCAGGATCCACTTCTTGCTGATGTTCATAATGCTGTACAAACAATGTGTGCAATGTCTTGAGTGGACGTACATCGGAATTTCTTTTCGGTATATGCCTAAACTGGGCGTATGGTAATTCTGGAGGCCTGGTGGTGCCCAGGTTAATCACTCAGCTGCTAATCTAAAGGTCAGTAGTTCTAACCTACCAACAGCTTTGCAGGAGAAAGATGAGACAGTCTGCTTTGCTAGATTACAGCCTTGGCCACACTCTGGGGCAGTTCTGTTCTGTCCTTTAGGGTTGCTATGAGTCGGAATCAATTGAATGCCACCAGGTTCTTTATGGTAATTCTGTGCTTAACTTTTTGAGGAACTGCCAGACTATTTTCCAAAGTGACTGCACTATTTTACATTCCCATCAGCCCTGTATTAGGGATCCAATTTTCACCAAAGCTTATTATCTACAGTTTTTTTCCCCCCAAAAAAAGCACAGCCTGATAAGACTTTTTCAAACTTTCTTGATGGGGGAAATTTTCAACAATACATAAAAAGAGTCAGTGACCATCCATGTGCCCACCGTCTAGACCAACGCTCCTTAACATCTTGCTGAAAGTGCTTCATTTCTCTTATTTTATCTTCTAAGTCCCTTTGAATCTACACGAAGACCATGAGCCCAGAACCTGTGGCCTGAATGTCTTCTCAAGGATGACTAGGAGGCCTTGTGGTGATGATGACGGCCTGGGGGAGGCCTGCCCTGCGGCTCCTGGCTCTGCCTGTCTCACTGAGCCTGGCGCCCACTGCTCAGCCGGGCCGGGGTGTTCCTCTTGGGCTTCAGCAGGATGACGTAGCACTTGGGCATGAAGATGCCACACAGCAGCCCCGCAGAGGACATGAGGATGGAGAAGATCTCCATGGCCACGGTGGCCTTGCCTCGGGCACTGTAGTACAGGGGCAGGAAGGCCACCCAGACGCTGCAGAAGAGAAGCATGCTGAAGGTGAGGAACTTGGTCTCGTTGAAGGCATCGGGCAGACCCCTGGCAAGGAAGGCCACCGAGAAGGTGCCCCCGGCCAGGAGACCCAAGTAGCCCAGGACACGGGAGAAGGCGGCCCCGGAGCCCTCGTGGCACTGGACAACGACGAGGCTGGGCTCGGAGGCTGTGTCCCTGTCTGGGAATGGTGGAGAGGTGCCCAGCCAGACCCCACAGAGGATCACTTGGATCAAGGAGGCCATGAGGACGACGGAGGCGGAGGCGCCATATCCCAGGCACACCCGCACCCTGCCCCCTGGCCTGGTGACCCTGAAGGCCAGGACCACGGTGAGGGTTTTGGCCAGGACGGAGGAGAGAGCCACGGTGAACACAGTGGCAAAAGTGGTCTGGCGGAGGAGACAGGTGGCAACGGTGGGACGGCCAAGGAAGAGCAAGGGGCAGAGGGCACAGAGGGCCAGGGAGGCCAGGAGTGTGTAGCTGAGAGCTCTGTTGTTGGCCCTGACCACGGGCGTGTGCTGGTATTTCAGGAACACCACCAGCACCAGCAGCGCCAGGCTGGCCAGTGTGAGTGACGCTACAGTCAGTGTGAGTCCCAGGGGCTCATCAAAGGCCAGGAAGTTCTCTGTCCTAGGCAGGCAGTGGTCTCTGGCTTGGCTGGAGTACTGCTCCATGGGGCACGGAAGACACTGCTTCATGTCTGTGGGAGACAGAAGCCACATCTACACCATGATCATAACACCACCAGCTACATGGAGGGGGCCTATGTGGCAACACTCTTGTGAGCATTTCCTGTGTGTTGGTTCGCTTATGAGTCGTGAGTAGTTACTAGTGCAAGGAAGAGCCACACTAAATCCTGAGGCACATGGAAAAAGGTGTGCCCCTGTGTACATGTGTTACATTATTTTTAAAAATTTTATGCTGGGGAAAACATACATGACAAAACACATGGGATCTCAAGAATTTCTACATGTAAATTCAGTGACATTGAGGATGCTCTTCAAGTAGTGCCACTGTCCTTGCTATTTCCAGATCATTTCACCACCATTAACACACTCAATGTCCTCCACGCAAGGACTCCGCCTTCCCCTCCCCTCACCCTTGCTGACCACCAATAATCTACATATTTGCTTATTGCATATAATTGATATTATGACAATATTGGTCCTTTTTCGTGTTGCTTATTTAATGGCTACTTTTCCCAATTTGTCGTAGTAGTAGCTGTTCTTTCTAACAGGCCTCACAATTCTGTCACCCTGCCTTTGTCGAATCACAGTGAGATACCACAACACCCTGCCAGAACGGGCTGACATGAGAAATCCTGACCAGCCCAGGGCTGATGAGTCTGGGGACTGTGATGGGTTGTGTCATGGCCCCAAAAAATGTTCCCTGGAACTGGTGGATATATTATGTTACATGGTGAAAGGGAAATTACAAATGGAATTAAGGTTGATAATCAGTTGACCTTAATATAGAAAAATACTCTGGATTAATTAATTAATTAATTAAATACTCTGAATGAACCCCATGAAATCACAAGAGCCTTTAAAAGTGGAAGGGCTAAAAGGTCCCTGACTAGCCCAGATAGTCTGCACTTGGATGGTGATCCAACAGTTGCCTGTTGGAACCCACCCAGTGGCACCACGGAAGATCTAGGCCTGGTGAGCAGCTTCCATAAAGATTACAGGCAACCCAACTCCGGAGCCTACAGAGTCTCTCCAAATGAATACACAAATAAACAAATTAATGCCTCAACAGAAGTGGGAGGGGTGAAAACAAACTCAGTGTCCATCAGCGAATGAATGGATAGATAAGATGTAGTTTACACACACAATGGAATATTATGCAGCTATAAAGAGAAGTGAAGTCCTGATGTTCGCTATAACACAGAGGAACCTTGAAAACATCACACTGAGTGAAATAAGTCAGTCGCAAAAGCACCAATACTGTATTATCTCAATTCTAGGAAATTACCTAACATATAGAAACCGAAGATTATGACTGGTTACCAGGGGTGTGGGAGAGCTTTTGCTTGGGGAGCATTGAGTTTATGGTAGTGATGGTGGAATATTTTGGAAAAGGACAATAATGGTGGCACAAAAACAATAAGGTAATCAGTGTTATTAAATTGCAAATGTGGAAGTAGTGGTGACAAATGTTTTGGATTAATTATTTTCACCTAAATTAAAAAACAAAACAAAAAAACACAGAAGTTTGCCTAAATGCAATTCTAAGAATGACTCCCTTGCCAGCCCTCTTCAACTCCCACACCCAAAGCCTTGAGGTCACAGTAACTCCCTGATTGGGATTTTGAGGTGCTGAGTTTGCCTCATTGGCCTCTGGGATTCAGCCCCCAGGAGCCCTCACCTGTCTGGTTTGTGAACTGCACTCGAAACAGCAGTGGGGGGCGCCCTGTAGGGGGATCTGGCTGGAGCCTGGAGTGCAACTTGCGCTGCAAACGGAGCTAGGGACCTGAGGACAGAGGAGCAGAGGGGTGACCAGTCACCAGTCTGGAACGGGATCCCATCCTGACCCAGAGCTTTGGTGCCAGCATGCTTCCTTGCACAAGAAGACAGGCCCCTTTGGGGAACCAATCTCAGTGGTATCAGCGCAAAGAAAGCGGACACTGACCCACAGTAGTAAAGACAGGTGAGTCCTCAGGAGGGCACCAGCTGGGTCATCTGGCCCACACGGATTCCCTCAGCCCCTCTGCATATAGTGCATGTGTGAGAGCTTAGTAACACAGTGTCACGTGTCACCTGCAGGTCTCACTCCCTCCAGATTCCCATTGTAAATCCTCCCATCTGTACAGGACTTGCAAGTGGATCTTCTGACTTCCTGAGTCTACCTCCCACCTCCAGGCAATAGTGATAAGGAGACAGCCTTTGAGGGAAGTGTGGGAGGCTGGCTTTTCTCTACCAGCAGAGGGGAGCAGTGTGCCCATGTTGAAATGAGTTCTTTTGTATGGCCTTTGGTCTTGGTTCTTTATAAAAACATCTTGGGAGATTCTACACACACACACACACACAAGCCCCTCAAAGCTCTGAGAGTTGTTACCTTTGCCATAGTTCTTTGGAGAAACTACTTGGGGGGCCCTCCCAGGTTTCCTTCTACCTCCAAAGGGTTGTTACTTCTCCCTAGGGAAGAGGCCAATCACTGCTGCTGGGAAGTGTTACCTTTGTACAAGAACTAAGTTGATTGACTGGGGCGAAATCTTGTAAGGGATTCGTTGATTTACTATTCAGATCATGGCTTGAGCATTGGCCCAATGAGACTGAGTAATTTGCGGTCCACTCAGTGGATTGGTCTATTTGTGGTCCTGCTGGAAGGTCCCTAACTGAAATTAACAAGACTTTGTTTATGGAAGTAACCATCCCCCACTTCAGTTTTCAGAGGAGAAGCAAGGAGTTAGGACGGAACTATGGATACACGTGTCCCAAGGCTGCAACTACATTAGTTAGTAAACAAAATGCAAACACCTATCCTGCCCACCTCCCAGGTGCTCTATGGGAACAGATTTGGTGAAGTGTATTGCTGTTTTACCACATAACCCATTCAGGTCTTCACAGAGCAGATTCCTGAAGAATGTTCTAATAGAATCTCCCAGTGCAGACTCTATTTCCACCTCTGTGTCCCTGATAGTCTCATCTGACGGTGAGTAAACGCTATTCCCACCACCCTCCCGAAAACGGAAGGGTCTAGAGGTTCAACAGCTGAATTATAGTCAGCCCAGTATGGAACCTCAACCGTTCCATGAGTTCATTGAGGGCTCAGACCACTGGCTGCCAAGTTCCCCTCTGATTCTGATTTCTCAGGACTGGGGTCATCGTGCACCCAGGTGACTCACCTGAGGCTCCTCCTTCGTCCAGTGTATGCTCACCCTTTCCCCTGAAGAGGCTTGCTGGCTAATGGTACCAGCGTGGACAAATGTGAATAAGTCCTCGGGAGTTTTCTGCCCGTAGAGAATGTCAAATTCTGTGACTATATCTCCGTTGGAATAAAAAATTGATATCTCTCTCCCATCCGGGGTATTGAAATGCACATTCCTGAGGCGATGCAGAAGCTACGGTAAAAAAAAAAAAAAAAACTCACTGCCAACTCATAGCGACCCCTCCTTGGGTTTCTGAGGCAGTATCTCTATGGAAGTAGATTGCCCAACCTTCCTTCCGAGGAGTGGCTGGTGGGTTTG